ACAATTTTTATTTTTTTTTACTTATTTATATAAATTTTTTTTGTGGCATCATTATTTGTTCTTTTTTTTATAAGCATAATTGTTGTCGATCCATTTTTTTTGTTCTGTTGAAATGTTTTTTTTTTCATTTTTTTTTGTCTTTTTTTATTTTCTTCCCCTTATACAGTTATTTACATAATCCATATACTTAAGATCTGTGGCCTTACATGCTAGGATATTTTATTTTATTGACTGATTTTTTTTAATATTCTTTTCCCTTTTCTTGATGTCATGGGGAGTGCTCCATCTTTAACTGTTTGGTATCTGTTGACAGGGCCTCCACGATAGTTGCGTCTCTGTTTCTAATTGCCATTTTCAGATTGTATTCTTTGATTCTATTCGATGTCGCAGCCATGGCGCTCTCAACCAGCCTTCCAGTTGCATCATCGCAATCGTCCGTGTAATAAACACAGCTTTCTGTGTGCCTGGACACTGCCACTACTGCGTGTCGGACGCTGTCATAAATTTTGAGCTTCTCTGTTGTTGTCCTCATTATGACCACTCTGCCGTATGTGAGACCTTGGGCCTCATGTACGGTTAAATTTCTCGACCCAGGACCCGAACCGTATCCCTGGCTGGTAAGAGACTCCTTTTCTGCTTGCGTAAATACAAGATATAAGGTGTCGGGCAGGGTACCTGGTATGACGACTCCCGTGTACCTCTTCCTTTCCAGTGAGTGCACCTGAGATCTGTATGAATAAATGCCACTGTAGATTTCACTCAGGGCATATGCCACATGCATCGGATTCCGGTGCGTACACAGAAGTTCTTGGCTAATAGTGGTCACGAGGCTTGGGCGAGTATATTGCATCGCAAAGAGGTTTTCCCTGTCGATATAAGGGAGTTGATTGATGACACCAATAAGCAGTATTTTTTCCGCTCCACTTAGCAGCATTGCCATTACTATGGCCCCGAAATGGTTCATGAGAGCTTCGTCGACTAAAAGTCGAGTACATCTTCTCTTTTGCCTTCTCATACCATTTACTAAAACTGAGGCCATAGTGCGCACTTTTGTTTTTGCGTCAGTGGCTATGCAGTTAGCTAAGTTTTCTCTGAGATCTTTAGCTGCTTCTGTTGTTGTTGTGACAATCAAATTATCCTCCGCATCGAATTGGTTTATAACCCAAGTTGTTTTGCCACATCCCGGGACTCCATTGACCTAATTTATTGTCGGCACCGTCCAGTTTTCCCAAGGATCTCCCAATGCACAGGACCCCGAGATGGTTTCCGCCATTTTTAGGATCCTGTCTTCTAGCATCACCTTGGTACAACGGGCGGTGACCACAATAGGGTCGTTGGGGGGGGGGTTTGAATACTAGGCTTCTCTGTCGTTCTGTCTCCTCCTCATCCAAGGCTACGAAGCTCGCTGACCCACTATAAGCCGCCATGTGATGACCTATTTTACCTCTTATGACAGTAGATGTTTTGTTGTCATAAATTGCGGCCTCTGCTTCCTCGAGCTGCACCCCAAGGAACTCATAACTACCGAGGTGGAAACTTTGTATAGTATTTTTGGAAGTTGTTTGGTTCACCTCAAGAGTTGCTTTTATGAGGGCCTTAAACTCTAGGAAAGCGTTTTCAAGCTCTCTTCCTGGTGGTAAATAGTCCAGTGTGCCTTGTTTCCTGGTTTGGTATAAGCTGGACGCTTCTTTTATTCTCAGGTCTAACGGAAGCAGACCCGAGATGGCAAGCGCGGAAGTGAGCGATACCGTGCGGTACGCTTTACAGATCTTCTGCGCGAAGCCCCTTTGCAACGTGTTGAGTTGGTCTTTGATCATCTGGAGTTCTGTTGCTGAGGACCACGCGCTCGAAGCGTACATCACTATAGGTTCGACGACTGCAACGTATATTGTCCATACGATCTCACCATTGAGGCCCCAGGTCACCGTGGCCGCGCATGCAAGCTGTTTGTATATGTCAGCCACTTTTTTGCAAACGGCTGCTACATGCAGCTTAAAGGTGAGGCCACGGTTAATGACGAGACCGAGTACTTTAATTTCCTCTACGAGTTTTACTCTGCTGCCGGACATTTGCAGGTTGGGGAGGTCAAATTTAAGTTTTTTAGTAACAAGCATTGCATTTGTTTTATGCGCTGCAAACTTCAACTTGTTCTGGGTTCCCCACTTCTTTACTCTTTTTAAAGTGTCATTGGCCTGTTGCTCCAGGGCACTCGTTGAGTGACTCGAGAACACCAAGACGACGTCATCTGCAAATGCCTGACAATACACCCCTTCGTTCGTAAGTTGGTGCAGCAGTGAGTCTAGGATAACATTCCAAAAGGTTGGTCCAACGATAGATCCTTGAAAACAGCCCTTTGTAGTTCCCCTCTCACTGGTTGCTCTGGCATAGTTAATTATGATTTTTCGATCTTGAAGGTAAGAGCCAACCATATCGTAGAGGATTTTGGGACATTTCTTTTTGGCAAGTTGCAGTTTTAATGCTGGCCACCATGCGTTGTCAAAGGTTCCCTCTATATCTAATGAAACAACAAGGACGATCTTCTTATTCCTCACTTCGTTTTTGATATATTTTAATAGATCATAGAGGGCGTCCTCAGTACCACGTTGAGGCATGAACCCATACTGGTTTTTATTAAGAGTTGGGAGGATGTACCACTGGAGTCGGCACACCATCAACTTCTCGACTATTTTTCCGAGTACTGACAGGAGACCTATTGGTCGATATGACTTTGGATGTGTATAGTCATCCTTTCCTGGCTTACGGATGATGACCACGTGTGCAGTTTTCCACTGCTTGGGAAAGTACGCCAATTTCAAGCACTTGTTGGCTATCGCTAAGAATACCTTCCTGTTGCAGTTAATTGCAGCGGAGCAGATGTCAGCTGTTAGCCCATCTGGTCCAGGGGCTTTTTTGGGGTTTAGTGTTTGTAACACTGATTCAAGCTCCGCTTCTGCAAAAGGTGGGTCATCTTCTGACAAACCTAGGTCTTTGTTAATTACTGTCAGCTCTCGTATTTTGGTGTGGTATGGCTTATCTGTTTCCACATAGTCGTGAGGGTAAAATGTTTTGGCCAAGAGATCTGCCGACTCTTCTGGTGTCAGAGTTTCCCCTTGGATGTTTCTTAGGAGCATGTCCTCATATCTTCTTGAGGATTTTCGGATAACTCTGTAAATTTTATCCCACATGCTCTCCTTTTCCTGTGTCGTGCAGAATTCCTTCCAGCTTTCGGTTTGCGCTTCCTCAACTTTTGTGGTGTAATTGTTATTTAAAACTTATGTATTCGTCTATTACGTGATTAAAACTACTTTTACGGATTTTATCGCGTTTATTTTTACTTTTTATTATTGTATATTAAATAAAAAGTAAAAATAAACGCGATAAAATCCGTAAAAGTAGTTTTAATCATGTACAGTGTTCGCGTAAATATAAGAAATCATTAAATATAAGAAATCATTCGTCTATTACGTGTTGTCTTCGACTTGGTGCCGCATTTCTAATATGTATTTTTTCCTATGAACTTCTTTTTTGAGTTGTTTGAGGGATTTTGACCACCATGGGCTCGTTGCATTCACCCCCCTCATGCCCACTTTCGGAATAGTCTCATCACAAGATTCCTGGATTGCTTTTGTGTAGGCTATTGTGATGGATTCCCGATCCTCATGGATTTCTGCCCCCTCAATTAGTGTGGGAGTTATGGCTCTTTCTTTTAGAAGGGATCTAAAGCGTGTTTCATTGAGAAGTCCGACCAGTTTGCCTTTCAGGTGTTGTATTTGTGCATTGTACAGGGCCATAATTGTGTCAAGACCGCTTTGGTGCGCAATGTAAACGTAATCGCGTTGTGGTCTGATGTAATTGGGCTTCTCTCCACACTCCAGTCTTCCACAGTGCCGAGAAGTGACGAACTGCAAGCAGTGACGTCTACTATGCTCGAACAAATTCTCCCCCTTCTGTATGTTTCAAAGTTAGGAGTGTCACCCGTGTTGAGAATATGGAGATCCATTTCATTGAGGAAGGTGTTATAAGCCGCGCCTCTTTCATCTTCAGAATTACTTCCCCACCATTGGCTCCAAGCATTTATGTCTCCATCCACTATAATGTTGTTTGTGTGAAGTTTTGCGCATGCTGCTTGGATTCGCCTAAGGTAGGGATTTATTTATTATCTTGCTCTCCCTCGAGGTAAACTGACACGACTCCCGGTTTTAAATTTCCTGCAACGAGAAGTACTGCCGCTTCTGTTTCGGTAACAGCTGTGGATCGTGGATGATCTCCAGCTGGTCTCCGAAGATCAGCACTGCGGCCTTTACTTATTTTGTCTATTCAGGCTGCATTGAAATACTCTCGTGCCGGGATGTTCTTTAATAACGCCATTTTTTCCCACATAGGGTTCTTATACTATGGCGATCGACACTCCTTTATCCGATGCAACCTGAAGTAGTTCCGCCGTTGCTACCCTGGAGTGTTGCAAGTTCACTTGAATGATTTTGAGGTCTGACCTACTAATGTTGGAGTTGATATTATTTTGGTTGCCCTTAGCAGTAAGATATGCGGGACCGTGCTATTGCATCCCACTTCTGTTTTTCCCGGTAATCAAAGCTAAAAGCATTGTGTGCCAGGTCCGTATCGGCACCATGCGCTTTGAGGCAATTATTACATCGGGGCGGGGGGGGGTCTCCCCTCCAGTCTAACTTTTGGAGAGAGCTCGAGTACGGGATGGCACTCTTGTGGATTCCTCGCCTTTATACTGTATCGAACTCTAACTGTTCGCTCTTTCTCATCGACGTCGTGCAGAAGGTGTTTATTCTGCGCCAGTATATTTTCCACGATTTCGACGTCTGTGTGATACGATAGCACGTCCCTGATTATCGCCAAGGGATTGTTTGTTCTGGCAACCTCTACTTTTATACTTTTATTTGTCTTAACTCTGTTTTGGACAAGGTTAAGATCCTCCTTGTTGTTGCAACTGAGGGCGACTTTTTGGTTTTTCGCCTTCCTTACCCTATCTACTTTGGCTCCAGTCTTTTTGTTTTTAGAGTGTGTCTAGAGTTGCTGTTATTTGTGTCTAGAGCCTCCCTGATTCTCTCAATGATGTTTTCGGCTGTGTTCTTTGAATCAGTTGATGTAATAATGAGAGTGTGATTGGGTTTAGGAAGGGGAGGGCTTGCAGCCACTCTGGCGTATATCTTTTTTGGATTTGTTGCTGCTTCGCCAGTTTGTGCAAGCTCTGTTGCTAGACTTGGGACTGCAGGTGATGGGGCCCGTTGCTTCTGTTCTCTCATCGTCCTCAGCTCGGATGACATTGCACCTAAGTGTTCTTCTATAGGTTGAAGATGTTCCCTTATGCTGGTTTGGAATATTTTACTGGAGTCCGCTGAAGGTAACATTGAAAGTCCAGATTTGATACTTACATCTATCTCCTTCAGCGAGCTCTTCATTCCATCCAGCTCCTGTTCCAACTTTTTATTTATTTCCTCTGAGTGGTGGGATGGTGGTGATTCCAGGCGTAACAGGGTTTTTTGGCCGGTCTCCAGAACCTCCTTGGTGTTGTTTTCGGACTTTTCAATGACTCTGCGCATTTCGTCCAATTGAAGTTTGAGTGTTTCCACACTAGATTTTACTCCAGTAAGGTCTACTCTTAGGTGAGATAAGATGTTGTCCGCACCTTCTTGCTTCTGCTGACTCAAGTTAGACTGGATCACAGCTATGCGCTTGTCTAAGTCCGTCACAGCTTTGAGTAGGTCACTCGTTTTGCGGAAGGGCTCTTGGGTTTCAAAGTCCAACCAACCCTGTATCGCCTTGGATTCCTGGAGGGTATTTTTTATATCTGTCCTGGTATGGCCTAGCTCGGAAGCCATTTCCTTCATAAGCTGGGTAATGATCTTGTTATGGGCGCGCTCCACTCGCATTAGTTCTTGAGCATTGTGTGAGCGTACCCTTTCTAGATTATGCTTATGTCTAGATCTGGAATCTGACAGCACCAGAACCATCTCGTAGAGGGACTGCAGACTCTCTAAAGTTGTTAACTTACACTCCCTCTTCATATTATCTGCCATTTCTAGCGCTTCCTTCCCTCTCAGAAGCATTGCGTTCGCTTCTTTTGTTGCCATATCCATTTCCACCCCCAGTCGCCTGTCGCCTGTTGGAGTTAAAAAGCAGGCTTGGTCTTCCTTTTTGCCTCCGATAGTGGTGATTCCGGCGCAGATGGATCGAAAGTTCTTCGTCCGATAAAATTGGAAGTGGAGGAATTTCTTCCTGCTCCCAGTTAGCTACTTTGTCGATAGCCGCATCTACATGGTCACACACGGAGGATCGGATTGAGCTGTCGCTTTTAACTGAAGTATGCGACATTTTAGTTCGCAGAGTGGGGTGTGCTAAGAGGCATTTTTGCTTGTTATAGATGCGTCTGTCGGAGCAGAGTCCGCTGGACGTTTTCCTGTTGCAGAATGAGATGATGGCTGCGACAACTTCTCGCTAGGTGTTGCTTTTGTTAAACTAGATTTTGTAAGTACTTTTTCCCGCAGTCTAGGTGGAGCAACAGAAAGGTTTTGTGAAGACTTGTATGAAGAAGCATTCTCCACATCCGACAAGACTACTTTATTTCCTGACATTATTTTATAGTATGCAAAAATTTTAAAGATTCTCTAATTGTAAGTTGCTTTAGTAGCTATAGATATAGGTAATGCCTTATAAAATGTTATACGAATATTATATATATATATATATATATATATATATATATATATATATACATATATATATATATATATACATACATATATTAATATTTAATGATATTGATTAAATTTTTTTTGTGAACTCACTGCTGGTGTTCTTCGATGGTTGAGCTGCAGTGAGGAGTACGATGGACGCGAAGAAAGAGCCCGTTGTGGGATCTCCGGTTGGTATGTTGTGAGTCATGGAGTATGCTTGAGGTGTTGTTGTCCGGGTTGGTATAGGACTATGGTGGAAAATCAAAATTCTGTAGTCGTCCAAATTCAAATGAGCCCTTACACGTGGGGTCTAGCTCCTCTGGTATACTAGTTATTGCTCGCGTGGGAGAGGTAAGCCTCGAGGGGGGAGGGGGGGGAATTCACGGGGGAACTTATAAATGGTATAATAAAAATGAGGGGGGCGTAGGTAGTATGGGGCGGTATGAGGAATTCGTAAGGAGCGTATATCTGGTATAAAATGAAAGATTGTAGGGGGTTAGGACGGTACGGAGGGTGGAAGAGGGTATTAAAGGGGGGTCAAGGATAGGGGTTGTTATAAGGGGGGAGGCGATATGTGTAGCGGGGTCTTGAGAATCTGACTCAAATGAGTCCAAGCTCGGGTGGTCAAGAGTAAGGGGTCTAGGAGTTCCCTCGGGGTTTATCTGATGGCCGTTGAAAGTGTCTCCAGCTGCGACGATAGTATGATCGAAGGATTCTTCGGTCCGTCTTCGAAGGCTCCACTAAAGTCTGCACCGTCGCCGGACGCCTCGTGTTCACTGACTCGCTTTAACCTCAAAGTCTGAAAGCACGTTGCAACCACGTGGTTTGAGGTTAAGTTGTTAATTTTAAGGAGTCAATAACTTCTGCGTTTGTGGGCCGATTTTCTTGATTTTTTCGCAGTTTGACTGATCTCCATAGCGGCTCTCAAAAACTGGAATGTACTTGGCAATTTTGCTGATGGTGTCGACACTATTTATCCCCAAAGTTAAGAGGCTACTGCTCCTAAACCAGCCAATGTACAGAGTTCTCCCCAATTACACTGATGAACTGCACACTCAAAAACTATCACAGCACTTCCACTCGCGTAGCTCAAAAATTGCTATTTTTCAAGCAATTTCTCCGTGAAGCTGATGTAGAATATGTCACTTTCCGATATGTACTGGGTTAGGTTAGGTTAGGTTCCCCCCCCCCCGATCGGGGTTCCGCCTTGTCGTGGCGGGGGGGCTTAGTAGCCGTGGCTGGGTCGCCCGCGGTGAACAAAGAGGAACCCACATGGCTGGCCCGAGGTGAAGGGCCGGCCCGAGGTGGCCACTCCGAGTGGGCTGGGGAGCCCACTTCGGATGTGTGCAGGTGGACTGCAGCGAGAGGGCTGTCCGCACCCTCTACCACTGCAGCCGAGGTGTAGTCGTGGAGGAAGAGGAGTGTTGGTATGGCGATGCGCCACTCGCCCTATCCTCCGCGACTCAAACGGGGCCGCACCGTTGTTGCGGTGGTGGTGTTGCTGCGGGGGGAGAGGATTGTCGGTATTGCGAGGCGCCGCTCTCCCTACCCTCCGCAGCCGAATCTTGGTTGGCGGCGGAGCCATAGACCAGATCCGCCGCTGGGGTCAGGAAGGCTAGTGCTTCTGAGTGCTCGTTTTTCCTGGCCCCATGGCCTTCGCGCATCGGACACGGGGGCGTCCGTTGCGCAGGTGTAATTGAAGGCCGTGGAGGAAGGCGCACCATGTGTTCTGGTGCGCCTTACCTGGGAAGGAGAACGGGGAGGAATATTCCTCTCCCGAGGAGGTGCTGCCATGGGGCGGCAGGCGCTGGTAGGGCCGCGGATGTGTGCGAAAGCGTTCCCGTGGCCCTGCCAATATGCGACGAAGGTGGAACACCATGGGGTTTTAGTCGGTGCGAGTCCGACATAATCCGTCCTTGCCCCCGCGAGGCGGGTATGCGTAGGCATTTCCCCATGTAAAAAAAAGGCTAGGTTAGGTTAGGTTAGGTTTTTGTTTTCCAGTCCTGGGGGCTTTTATTTGTACGAATTTGTCCTACTTTGCACAATTGATTTGCCCCCGCTATTGGATACGGGCGACACAAACGTTACATTTTTAAACAATTATTATTTACAATTGGTTATGATTTATAGTTTAGTACATTTATATACAAAGAAAGAGAACTTAGAAGTAGGATAACTTGGGTTACACAAATCAGAATTATGGTTACAGAAATCAGACTTTACTAATTTTTCTATGCATCTATGTTATGTGTCTGTTGAAGTCCTTAAGTGTTTAACAATAGTTTTATTATGTTTGGTGTATGAAGTGACTGAAGATTCCTTGCTTATTATTTTCTTTATGCTAAAGGCGTCGGTAATATTTAGGCTGTTACAGGTAATTATGTGATCATTCCTGGTGTTTGAGTATCTAGGACATTCTTCGATTAAGTGCTTGAATGTTTGTTCAGAGTTGTCGTTGCATGGGCATTTATTAGTTGATTTAATTTTAAATCTGTACAGGTACGATAGATTGAATCCATGTCCGGTCAAAGTTTGCGTAAATTCGAAAGATAGTTTAAAGGCTTCCCACAGATTTTGTACGAATTCAAGATCAGGACATATATTTTTTGTATATTGTCCTTGTACAGAGTTTTTGTAGTAAGAATCGGCATTAATAAAAGTTATTTGTTTGAGGTTGAGTTTCAAGTAGCTTAAAGGAGTGTTATCGTATACGTATTTACTGTCCGAACTAGCAGCTTGTTTGGCTGTTGAATCATCCGCTTCTTCGTTACCGGTCAAACCTTTGTGTGCTTTTACCCAAATAAAGTTAATTGTACCTGTTCCTGCGTTACATATTTTATGTATACTTTTGTGTATGGACACTGCAAATGGGTTTGTACTGTCTTTGTTTTGTATTTCCTTCAAGCCTGAAAGTGAATCCGTAAGTATTGAGAGGTTATTGACACCTGTTTGAATAGCCCATTTACAGGCTTTTTGTTTAGCCAAAAGCTCCGCTTGGAATACAGTACAGCTTGGATGTAGTTTGTACTTTTTGCGTATTTTTATTTTATTGTTAATTTGTACTACAAATGCTGCACCTGTGCTACCATCATTATGCTTGCTCCCATCTGTGAATATCTTCGTTGTATGGTTAGGTTAGGTTAGGTTTGGCGAGTGCTATGCACAGACTGCTGCCCAATCTAGGGGGACCGAGGGAGGAAGTCCGCCGCCTCTATGCTGGGGTAGTGCGGTCCGTAACCTTATATGGGGCGCCTGTATGTGCGAAAAGGCCAGCCATCCGACGCTGTAGAACTAAAATCTACAGTGTCCAGCGGAGGATGGCTATACGGATCGTGCGAGGATACCGCACGATATCCTTTGAGGCGACTACAGTCCTGGCTCGCTTTCCACCCCTAGATATACTGGCGGATATGGATGCGAGGGTGTATAAGCGAATCCGCATCCTCCGTCAGAGAGGTGACAGTGAGCCAGATGAGGCGCTCAAGTTTCTAAAACGGCAGGAGCAACAGAAACCTTTGGCCACATGGCGCACTCGACTTAACGAGGAGCGCTATGCACGGAAACGCGTCACTGGCGCTATCCTGCCGGTTTTCGATGCAGCGACGAGCAGGAAGACTCACCTACGGACTTACACAGATAATTATCGGGCACGGGTGCTTCGGTGATTATCTGTGTAAGATCGGACGCGAAGCGAAGGCGAACTGCTTTCACTGTGGTGGGCTGGATCAGGATTCCGCGTCCCATACGCTTGCGGTTTGTCCAGCATGGGAACGGGAGCGGATAATCCTGGCAAGCCGGATCGGTCAGAACCTTTCTCTGCCAGCAGTCGTGTCGGCGATGCTGAGCGAGGATACGGCGTGGAGTGCCGTAGCCACCTTCTGTGAGTCCGTAATAGTCCAGAAGGAGGCTGCTGAGGGATCGGAGGAGGACAGATCCCGCTCAGACACGACAGCGTCAAGGCGTTCATCACGGCCCTCCCTTTGAAGGTGGTGATCCCATACCAGAAACGGGGCCTCTGGGGTTGCAAGTATTTGGGGCGGCGGCCCCGAATGCCTAAAAATGTAACCCCTGAGGACAATGGTTCGGAAGTGGTCCCGAAACATCAAGATAGCACTGCGAGGGTGCTGGGGGTAGTAAGTACTGCCCCCGGGACGTGCTTTCAATAAAGCAAAGCGAGAGAAGGGCCTCGGTTGCATTCCGAACGGAGATCCCGGGACCCCTCTTACACGCTGATGGAGACCACCGTGGGGTTTTAGCCGGTAGGAGTCCGGCACAACCTTTTGGGTGCCCCCCGCAGCCAAAGATATCGATAATGAGGATCGGCCCTCCCTTTGAAGGTGGTGATCCCATACCAGAAACGGGGCCTCTGGGGTTGCAAGTATTTGGGGCGGGGGCCCCGAATGCCTAAAAATGTAACCCCTGAGGACAATGGTTCGGAAGTGGTCCCGAAACATCACGATAGCATTGCGAGGGTGCTGGGGGTAGTAAGTACTGCCCCCGGGACGTGCTTTCAATAAAGCAAAGCGAGAGAAGGGCCTCGGTTGCGTTCCGAACGGAGATCCCGGGACCCCTCTTACACGCTGATGGAGACCACCGTGGGTTTTTAGCCGGTAGGAGTCCGGCATAAACTTTTGGGTGCCCCCCGCAGCCAAAGATATCGATAATGAGGATTTCCCCACGAAAAAAAAAAGGTTAGGTTAGGTTTTTTTTTATTCTAGTTCCCCCTAACATGGAGATCAGGGACTTTTTCCTTCTTTTTATCTTTTTTTTATTTATTTCTTTTTTTTTATTATTTTATCTTTTTGCTTTTTTCTTTTTTACTTCTTTTTAACTCTTACATTCTATTACAGATCTTATTTTTGGTTTACACATGTCTTATATTACTACATTCATGCTTA